AAATCGGTACTTGTCTCAGCCTATTTGTTAACGCATGAAGCAATAATGTAATTATAAACTTTGAAATTAACCATTGCAATTAATTCAAAACATGATTCAATATAATTAATGGCAGTGTGAATAGAAGTGCAGAGAAAGATAAAAAGCAACGCGAGAAGCACTGACCAAGCTGTGCAAATAAACTCAGCGAAGCGAAGTCTCTCAGACGGGACAAAGGACGCGTGTTCTTTGATATCAAAAAACATCGATACGATGATGCTCTTCGATCCATGTGTCGTTCCATGCATGATTTCCATGAAAGACTTTGTGACGTCGTACTATTACTGCTCAAGGTCGAGTGCAAGGTCTCGTCATTGGAATACGATATGAAAAGTTGTGATTTTTACAGCTGAAGGCGACACGTGTAAGTTTATTGGAACACACGATGCGCTTAGCTTCGATGGTTGGTTTGGTTGAGTAACCGGGTTCTGATGCAAAGAAACCGTTCGAGTGTTACTATAGTGTAATTATTTAATCATTTGTATAATTTAAAGATTTGTGATTTCGTTCTAATTTGTGGGTAACTAACTTTTTGGCTATAGAATCCGGCGACCAGATAACGACTAATTGTGGTGATTTTTTTTCATCCATAATAATATGTAATGCATTATAGCACTCTGTGTACATCAGGACCTTTAGATTCTACGACGCAGTTTCCTTTAGTATAAGGTTCAGTTGTCTGTAAGACTCTCCGCATAGGAGCTTACAGCAGGATTATTGCCTTTTACATGTCTGGATATTGAAGGTCAATGTTAAGCCTTTGTGAACGACCACAGTATTAAAAATGGCCGGATATTAAACTAGCTTTGTGTGCAGATTAAAGTATGCATTTCTTAGATATACTTCTTGATACTCGTATTAAAATAAAGAGAGGATAAGTTTATTTGACATCACGCTTTTAAAAATACCGAGCGCAGTAGTCTCTGTACAAAAAGTAGGTCAGAAAGCGCTTAGCATATTTCCGGGATGACAGGCAAAGTTCCTGCGGTGATGGTAAAAGGGAATCCTGCTAGTTTAATGTTGCAATGAGAACTATGATCGTAGAAGGCTCTCTTCACTCAAATAAACTTTTAAAGTAGCTGATCATAATATTGTCTCAGGAGACGTAATTTCCGTTCACTCCGCCTCAGGGCAGCGGAAATAAAATATTTTTATTGGAAACTTTTGCATGGTTTATTATCCGATAGTAAAGGTAGATTTGTTGTAATATAGGGCAAGATTGTTGTCAAACAATATTTGGTAGTGTTTCGTAGTGTTTTTGCGAGTGAAAACTGGGCAGAAAAAGTAACTATGTTTAGGAACACAAGTGTAATTTTTTAACCTACTACATTAACATCATGTTCTACATCATTTTTGTAGTATTATACATTATTCATCAAGTAGATTTTATTGCTTTACGATACTATTCCTATGCTTATTTAGCCAAGAAAACTGCTGTCTCATAGAGGAATAAGACAATAAATCGCCAACGATAAATATTGGATTTCTCTCATTTGAAGCACCTATCAATTTATGTCAAAGGTTTATTTGGTTACTGGAAAATATTTGGTTGCAAAAGTGCATACCGCATAGGTAGGTATTATATGTAGACGTTATATAAAATGCTACCTGCTCCACGAATTAGGTGTGACGACCGGATAATGAACTCCAGCGCAGTCAAAACGCGTGCGTCATTACCCTTTTTGCGCATTTATTTGAAACTCGAATGCAGTTGACAATGTACGGAGTGCATCAGTTATGTTCGATGTAATATGTTGTGTGTAAAAATTTGTCGATGCTACCGGTAGCTTAATAGGTAATTATTTTCTTTGTTCATGTTTCTTCAAGTGTTTGATTGCTATTGATTATTCAAGGGAAATTGCTATTGAGCTTTGTGATATAGTATTATTCAAAACTGTCTAATGACATTGCTAGTGAATCGTATATGTAGGTACCATATTTGTAAGTAACTCACAGCATAAAGGATCAATAACATCAGGAAAGCACTAACACAACCATCAAATTGCATTTCTTAAAATGGCTATTTTCAAACCGGGACCTAGTTTTGCGTATCATAAAACATAGACTGGCTCTAATCTCTCAGTCACTTGGAACCGGTAGTCACCAGTATCATTATGTAGGTACCTAGGTACTCGTGTACTGGTGTACCGGCGCACGCGGAGGTTAGCGGGAACTTTCTCTCACACAGCTGATTGGAGTCTACGAGTGTAAGGCTGTACGGCTACTGCATAAGAAAGTAGTTGCAATTATTATTGATAGGCAATTATTTAATACCTTATCTCAATAATACTTATTGGGTGTCTAAGTCTCGAGTAAATTAGTTGCTCATAGGTAAATGTGGTCCATCGTCCGACACGTCATTGACATGAATGCTTACCACTAGGTGAAATGGTCGCCAACTGCCATAGTATCACTACATAGTATAAAACAAAGTCGCTATCCACCGTCTGTCTGTCCCTATGTAAGCTTAGATCTTTAAAACTACTCAACGGATTTTGATGCGGTTTTTTTAATTGATAGTGATTCTTAAGGAATGTTTATATGTATGCATGCATATTGCATCCGTGCGAAGCCGGGGCGGGTCGTTAACTGTTTAAAAAATCTTAAAGCATGTTAGCAGTTAATATGTACTAAACTCTAATGTATGTATTACTTTAATAACAAACATTTTCGAAACTGCCTCGTTGGCCGAGTGGTCGTAAGTGCGACTCCGGGCAAGGGGTCTCGGGTTCGATTCCCGGGTCGGACAAAGTATTACTGGGTTTTTAAATATTCTCAGTAGTAGCACGGAGTCTGGAATTGTGCCCGGTATATGGCAATAGGCTCACCCCCTATTACATGGGACTCATAACATAAATAGTGAAAAGCGGGTGTTACATTGTACAGTGGTATAATGTGCACCTCTGCCTACCCCTTCGGGGATAAAAGGCGTGATGTTATGTTATGTTATTTTCGAAGGTATTATATTAATTATATTATAATTATAAGGTTAAATCCTCAAAGGAACGAGGTTCGAATTAGTTCCTAGCTTGTCCTCGTTATCTGTTCATTAGGTTCAAAGTCAAAGTCAAAATCATTTGTTTCAATTAGACCAGAAAGGCACTTTGAACGTCAATAAAAAATTAAAAGTGGAGCTATTTGTCCGTTAAAGGAATGGGAACATAGCTTCATTAAAGGAGAAGGAGAAGAACGAACAAGAAACTCTATAGGTTACTCTTTTTCAATCAATTTACACAGTTACCTAGTTTAGTGCAGAAATGAAATGTGTGTGTTTGAAAAGCTGTGATGCCAAATAACGTTCAAGGCGAACACGGAGATTTATTAAAAAGTTTTCAGTAGGGAAATCATAAAATGTGTGACATTTAAATATCTTGTTAACGTTCGAAACTGCTATCGAGACGCTGATTAATTCCCAAAAGAGTCGCCGTTTGCTTCGTTTTCGGGGATCGGTGGAAGCCAAGTGATTTATTTTATAGATTCAGCCGTGATTCCCTCGTTTAGTTCATGTGGGTCACTTGGTCACCAGGATTTCACAAGATTAGTTATTGTGATGAAAAATATACTGTGTTAAAATGACGATATTATTATTATCCGAATATTCAGCTATGATAAATATATTATAAAGTAATAATAATAATTTATAGTAGCATAATAATATTTTTGTTTGAAAAACAATATGCCGTTGTTAACGCTTCTTCTAAAATCAACAAATAAAATAATGCTTTGATATGCCTATTCGTTTTTTATTACAAAGTCCCTTTGTGTCCCTTTCATCTGGTTTACAGTTCGCGTCGTGTCAAACAAAACAATACAACAAAAACATTTTTGTCCGGGTTTGTTTTAATCAAACCGGGCTACTTTAATAAATAAACTATGCAACTGAATTGACGGAAAGGAAGTAGCCATAGCTGTCATTATAGGCTACCTTTTTCCAAAAAAGTTTCGAATCTCGGTCCTATAGATACATATTTCATTGTATACTATCCTCCTGGTGTATTGAACTGGTTTGTATTTTCTGTACATAGGATGCATGACGGCATGTATTAAATTGTTACATTTCCAAGTTCAATAAATGTACGTATATTAGAAAGGCTATGTGCTAACTGCGTTCATCTCGTTCATCATCAACAGCCTATAAGTGCCCACTGCTGAGGAAGGCCTCTTCTCACACGGAGAAGGTTTGAACATTAATCACCACGCTTGCTCAATGGAGGTTGGCGATTTCAAACTAATAATTAGAAATTAATGTTTTCCTTCACCGTTTGTCAGTGGTGTTTCAATACTCGTTCCTACTCGTTCATCTCGTTACTACTTACTAAACTATAACCTCTGTACCTATGTTAATGGTCCTTTTTATTGAATAGGAGACAAACAAGCAGACAGATCACCTGGTGACAAGCATCGGTACTGGCCTTAAGGTCATCCGAAACCTCAGAGGAGTACAAAGTGCGCTGACGGCCTTGATACTTAGAAGAACGATAAAGAAACTGCATAATTACTCTTTGATAAACCTCAAAAAGTACAAATGAACATAGGGAATATTTCTACACGTGTCTGAGCCTCACCACAAATAAGTTAATAGGTCTGTATGATATAAATAATCTGGAATTAACTTTCCAGGTTTTATTGTACATATAAATCCGCATACGGTTACACGTGTAAAGATGATTGCAATTCTCTTTGGAGTATAATTTTGTTGGAAATAGTATTAATGGGGTTTAACTTTTATTGTATTAGGTAGATAATATGTAGATAAAATATGCATTTCATTAACAGTTACTCATGTTCCTGGGACGCGCCGGACTTCAGTGTTCCGGTGTTTTCATGGTTGTATCTACTGTAGATCCTGGTTTACAGGAGTTGCAGCGGTTTTGGGAGGGGGGAATACCGGGTATTATTCTAGGTTCCGTGCTAATACTGAGATTTTTTAAATAAAACCCAGTAGTAGTTTCTCGACCTGGGAATCGAACCCGAGACCCCTTGCCCGACAGTCGCACTTGCGACCACTCGGCCAACGTGGCAGTCAGATTGAAAGACGTATTGATAATTATAATTATCAATATATATGATACTACATCACTTTATCATATTTTAACATAAGTAAAATCCAGTTTAGCAAAATTACAAATCTTAATCACACTCAGGTAGTTTAGTGCTAAATAAAATATCCTCTCATCCTACTCCAGTGCCGTCAATTATCCTCACAGATCACTCACTTTCGATTAAAAGAAGTGTTGAAAACGTTTGATCTGATTTAAACTCCGACCCACTTAAATTGCAATTGCAAGAAATGGTATTACAACGATTCTTTACACAATTATTAACCAATAACTATTTACAGTCACTCGTAAATGTCAATAATAAGTAGGTACGTTGTTAATAAATAATAATTTTGTAATGACTTGAAAAATATAATGAAATGTTTATTACTGACATTATTACTATCTCGTTATTAACTCATTTAGCCTGTTTCGACAGTCAAGTCGTAACATGTAAGTACGCGTAGAGTTTTAAGTACAACTTCTAGATATAAGAACTACCTCTCCACAATCGCCCTATCATCAACTCCTGAACTTCTAGAAAATCGGCAACGCACTTGCATCGCCTCTGGTGTTTCGGATGTGCCATGTACGAAAATTGATCATCAAGTGGATAACCACCTGCTTTTTTGGTGACATTATAAAAAACTTATTTATCACATCATATTCCATACCATTTCAATACCGTTGGGTGATTTAAGTTCACTTTTTAATAATGATATTCAACTATAACTGGAGTTTGGCATAGATTATAGATAAACTTTTATTATAAGTACATATATCGTTTCATCACTAACCCCGAACCTACTTACTTCTTATCACAAATATTGTTAAAAACATAACCTACATTTGTTTAAGCAACGACGTTCATGACATTTGACTTGAAATTTTCTACTCTAAGATTTATTTAGACTTGAAAAAATCTAGGTCGGTAGCAGCGGGCTAGGAGGATTAGCGATTAATCCGGAGGAGCATCAAGTGTTCACTTAAGTTATTAGCTGTAGTAGTAGTGAGCTACCTAACCTTTTTGCGATCGCTGTTTGAGAAGAAATCAATGCATTGTGCTATCTTACTAATCAACTACTTTAATACCTAGTTAAACAATATTTTTATTTGGCAGACATTTCATTCTATTTGCTGTTCTTAGGAAGCTGTGTAGATATAGCAAAGAAGTACATTTTGTTACCATTCCTATTCTTCTTGCGGTATAGTAGCGCTCTGATCTCGCTTAAGTGTGGGAGAGCCATACTTCGGCACGAATGGGCTGGCTCGACTGGAGTCGAGCCTTACAAAGAATTGGAGACGATTCAATAAATCATTCAGTCAATAAGTTCGGGGTCCAATAAGGTCGAAATGCGTACTTACAGTCATTTATGACTGAAAATTAGGTCCTCAATATAAGCATTGGTCACTTACATGGATTTTGTCAAGCGAAAATAGACCTTGTTGTTTTATGACTTGCAAGTGACAATTAACATTAAGGTTGTGAAAGCCGTTTTATAGTCAGCAATAAGTACAGTAAGTGACGGATAACAGTAAACCTTATTTTAGTGTGTCTTGTTGGTCAGATGTTTCTTGGATAAGAACCCTTCCTCTGGATCAATATAATGCGATCTAAAGCCTTAACTTGAATAGAAAAACTACTTGTTTAAAGACCTTCCTTGGTCGACTGGTTAAAATAAACTGCAATCAACCTCTTGCTTGCAGTTTTCCCAGATTTAAACTTTAGGTCGAGTTTTGTCGATCATTATGTAAATGACAATCGGTTTTCCGCCAGACACATCAGCCATCCTGACACAATCCAGTTATACACACGGGACCATTTTTTTATATCGGGGAAAACCTTCAAAATGTGCCTAGCCTTTTTGGGGAAACACAACAAGGATGTGTGGGATTTTTACCTCACCTCACTAAAACCACCGGTGGCCACCCTCCAGACCTGTATGGAGGCACCGGGTCCTCTAAAAGAGACCTGCTCCAGGGAACTTTTAGACCCTAGAATACTGTCATCAAAAATATGAATAAATAATAATACATCTTCATTATTATGTCCTCTATAAACCTTCCCTGAATGGTAAGTATCATCCGAAACATCCATGTGTCACCGTTTTGTCCAATGGTCATAATGACTAGAGAAAGCCGGTCAACACGACTCCGTATAATTTTAACATAAAAATACCGCAAATATTATACTAACGTTCGCGTTGAAGGTCATATATTACTTGAGGATATGCGTGCTCTGGCTAGGTTGATATTTGGATGGGTGGTTTGATTACAATTAGTAATTTCATTCGCAATTTGAAATATTATCTAATCTACTATTACTACATATTGGTGTAACGAAAGTGATTTAAACATCATTTAGTATCCGACTCGGGAATTCAGCTTATGGGTCGATAATAAAAATTGTTAGCAGTTTACATTCCAATTAAGTTACGAGTGTAAGTATCATTTTATACGTTTTGACCGCGTTTTATTAACTCGCGATACTCGATTACTTATTCGTGTCACTTCGATTAATTGCGAATGCATATAAAAGTGGTTTCTATAATACGTTGTAAGTTGTAACTTACAACTATAAGTCCTTAACCTGGCTGCTTATTAATAAAAATCTTTATATTCATCTCCATAACGTACAATTTCGCTTAAACTTACCGAAAGAGCAACTACAGGCTTCTACAAAACTGTTGGCTTTCATATGACAAATCTTGGTTACCTATATTTTTTAATACTAAGTCTTCAAACAATTTTAGCTCATATTCCAATGAAAATAACGCTTGTGACACTTGCAGCAAGTAATTGGTTTTGTAAATGATATTAGTCGAGGGTGCAAGAAATATTAATGTACAGATAATCGATACTGTTTTAATTATGCATTTACGGATTGAATGTAAAATTTGTTACGTAGAAGTTAGTTATTAAATATTTAAACGACATATGATAAGTTTCCCAGACTTAATATCTAAAAGATGGTAATAAAATTTAATTCAAAATGTAACCTGTTAGCGCGGAAAAACATGAAAATAGCCGATGGTGGCTCAAACCACTTTTAACAGTCTAAAAGTGAATTTGTCAAGGAAGCCATTGAAGGAAGGTGTTGAAAATGTATTTATTGCCACTTAAAATAATTCAGTACATTTTTCAATTAAGATTAACTATCATACCTCATCGTTCGCTTGATAAAATTGACGTGTAAAAGTGCTGCCTTGTAGCCTATTTGCAGAAATAAATTCACTTGTTTCACTATAGTCTAGAATCTAGAATATAATATTAATACCGACTATTTCTAGGTTCCATTTGCATTTCTAGAATCTAAATCGACAATTCTATAGTCAAGGAGCCAGCACCGCTTCGAGTAAAATTTTATTCCAAATAATAATTTGGGTCTACCGAACAATTTTGTAGGTATTAGACATCAACGCACGGCCAAAATTAAACACTTAGTTTACGCGCCTTTATATTCGAAGCGTTTGGTAAAACTGTAACCTTAAAGATGTTAGTGGCAAATTCATAATTGTGGTATTTTCTAGTTACTAATTTATCATGATCCCGATTTGTAAGAGCTTGCCGCATATTGATGGCCAGTTGGCACTGGTTATTTGAAGACATGTATATCCGTGTGTATGTACAACTGTACAAGAAAGAGGTACAAAATCATATTCTGATAACGAGGTTCTGCGAAATGCACCTCGTAATTCTATTGTTTATCGTAGAGATTCACTACAATCACAGTTATCGTATTACTGAAGTAGCAATACTCCGAGCTATATTGTTAGCTTGATTGACAGTAAAACCTCTCGTGACATTTCGGCCATTGTACTTTGTTCCAAATTCAAAAGATTATTACGTCGGAAAAATCGTGAACTTCTGTTATGCTATCTCACTCATACGTCGTGTTAGCGAGCGAGAAAGGTATAATAACAGAGTAGTACTCGATAGATTAAGTAAAAAAACGTGCAACAGCTATACAACTGTAATAATTGTGATATTGGATTGATTTATATGCAATAATTAATTTATAATATTATGATAGTTATGGTTAAGTCTCAAGTTAGAGTGAGCCCATTTTACAATTCGAACCTAAGTCATGAACATATCTAAAAGCGAAAAATCTTATTATTGATCTGACCTGACATGACTGAGTAGCCAATTACAAAACTTCATTCATATTTTAAATTATTTAAAAGATGGCATATACATTTCGTGTCCTGGATCTTAATCTATAAAACTAAAAATAAGCTGGCAGAACTCACGGTGAAATCAGAAATTGCATGAATTGCATTCAAAGCTCTTTCTATAAATAGAAACACTTCAATTTATACCAATTCTCTGGAATATACTAGAAATGGCATTAGATGTTGTTCCAGAGTTTAGTATATCATCGATTAGGGTTGTTCTTGCTTTAGAATTCTTTTACGCTTCATAGTTAAAATGCTTTAAAGTTAAATGAACATGATTAAAACACCAATAATAATTGATACTAATATTCACCATGTTAGTAACTCCATCTGAAATAAGTAGAGGAGTGGGATTGTAAGGATGTATGATGTGCATACTGTATGAATCCGTGTGTCATATCGAAACAAAATCGGAGCACCTCAGCTCTTTAAGTGGGAAACGAAGAAGCTTTCAAAAGGAGTACACATTAGCCGGACACCATGCAGCAGCGCTCTCTGATAAACCTAACGCTTGGGAAATATAGCATACATCTCTCCTCTTATTTACCTCTATTTAATGTACACAATTTGATTACACAATGGCACATAAAGCGAACTTAATGCCATATGGCATTCTCTACCAAACGTCTTATATAAAGGAGGTTTTATTTTTATATTAGATGGGCTAATGTTTGACCTCTATCTCGCCTGGTGGTAAGTGATGAAGCGGTCTACGATGGATCAGTAGTAATAGCTTTATAGTCTAGCAGTATATTGTCATGTCATGGACTGACGAGGCTGAAGGAGTCCAGTATTTAAGAAAAATAGTTTTACAAAGAAATCCGAACTAGAACACTCAACTAGATAAAAAGACGAGTAAAAGGAAGTGAAAATCTAAGAAAGGAAGAAATAAATCCGACCTTTTAACAAGAGTCAGCGTTAATTGAGTTCACAATCGATTCGAAGAACGAGCTCTAATGAACAAGACTGCAGCATAAAACTTAGGTTGTCAACGATCAAATAAAACGCACAGACACTAATTAAATCCGTTCAACTATTTATTCATAAAACTACTTTTGATACAAGTTTCTTAAACTGTCAAACACCAAGCGGTCACCGGTGACCGCGACCCATTGTTCTTTAATTGTGTCTATAAAACCGGTACTCGACGAGTTAAAGTGATCTATATGCAATACTGCAAAAGTTTATCTTGTTTTAAATACAGTCTTAAAGCCCCAACATAATAATATTACGCTATTGAATCCCGTAGGCTAAAGCGTAGAACACCACAAGATGTGATCCAACCACAGTAAAAAACTGTATTTATGAAGAGGATGTGACACAGGTCACATACCGAAAACGCTAACTACAGTAACATCCAACATACAGCCGAATGTCCCAAAGAAGGTGACAGATTGTAGTAATAAATAAATAAAAATAAAATTAAATCCCGGACAGAAGTCAGAGCTGAATCTAATTTTTGATGATTTGATAAATTATGAATTCCACGTTTAGTCCGTTGCGTTATGGTTCAATACGCTACGTATAGTTTCTGTAAAGTTTTCAAAAATACCGTAATAATATTTTACCCAACCCAGAGATCAAATCTGAGACCACTTACCCAACAGTTACACTTATAACTAAATAGGTAAGTATATTAAGTGTGATCATTCAAAAAAAAATTGTTTCAAAAAACCAACTTCATAACCCTTCTCTATTTTGAAAGTCGGTTAATGAATTTACTAAAACTTTCTTCTAAGTGTAACATATACTTTTCTGAAAACCGCATCAAAATCGGTTCAGTCAATCGCGTGTTAATTGCGCACAAACATACATACATACATACACACAGGTCAAATTGGTCAAACTGAGAACCTCCTTGTTGTTGAAGTCTTTTAAAAACAATCATTACACAAACTTGCGCGTTTGCGTTAGGACTTGGAAAAGTTTTTCATGTAAAATAGTTCTTAGCAATTTATTTAATCGTGTGAACGTATGCAGCACGTGGCGGTGTTCTATAAGCGCATGTAAATCTTTTACACGTTTCAGCGCATTAGTGCCTCTGTAAAATTGAAATATTGGAATAGGTATTGAATTTATCTTGAGGTTTTAGACTCAATCGAGAAATGTTACAAAAATTTAAATAGGTATGTGAGAATTAAATTAAGCCATTAAGATTTGTGGCATTAATATATCTAAGATTAAGCAAACAATTAGTTTTTTAATATTATTTTTTTTAAAGAAAGGTCACGTTCTCTCGGATTTTGTCTTCTGTCGTGCGTGCGTTTACAAACATACAAGTTCATATACACATGACACCCAAACCCGAAAAAACAATTTATAGATCACAAAGAGTTGCTCTGTGCGGGAATCGCACCCGCTACACGATGCGCGGCAGCCGATTGCCCAGACACCGTGCCAACCGTGCAGTCGACTTTGTTTCAAGACAACAGATTTTGGATTAGAATCGGACATAATTTCGGTCATCACTTTAGAAAATACAGTTCTAATCTAAACACTTCAAAACCCTTATTACAAAAAGACATAAACTTAAACAATTATTTCAACCCTTACCTTTCGCATTTGCTGATGAATTCCCGCAACCCATTCTTTATTCATTAAAGAGCTAATCATTACGACCTCTACATAGGATACACTTTAATTTGCGCGACAAAAGAAATCGATAACGCTCGCCCATGTTTCTAGTGAACTTGACATTGACATTCAACTCTTCTCTCTTCGCTTGTTTACAAACCAACAAAAGCAATTAGAGAGATTTTTCCAATGATTTCTCATTTACACATCGAGTGCTTTGAATACAAAAGGTTTTTCCTCAGTCAACAAATTGTGAGGAATTACACCAAAGAGTTTTTCATAAATATTTATTAGAAAATTGAAAATAAAAGTAAACCAACAGCACTGAGGAACGTGGTAAAGAAATATGAATTGGTATTTGTCAAAAGGTTTTTAATCGAACTGTATTTACAGACTTTAAAGAAATATTGAAGAATATGTACTTCTATAAAATTCAAGTAGTTACATTCAAACTATTACGTTTTAACATTAATTTATTTTCTAAAGCGCAGTACAAAATCGATTTTGTGACCTTAATTGGTTATGTTGACTTGAATAACTTGGTTCAATGAAATAAATATGTAAGTACTTTACCTTGCTCCAATCAGAAAAAGTATGAGGAAACAAAAGTTGAGATCTGTTCTATCTATACCAACCCAGTCAATCAGGAAGGTAAAAGCAAAAATATAATTCTTCGATCACGACTGACCAATCACGTGTGTTCCAGGTTTGAACGAGTAGATCGAAAGCTCAAGTTATTCGGTCAGATCGGTCACGAGCTGCCGCCGTGATTGTGTCCTAGGCTTAAGACCGGTATATCGCACACAGACACACTCACACACTCAATATGTGTACACAGTTTGAGGATAAGTGAAAGCAATCTCAGGCGCACGCGATTCTGCGCGGCGATCAAACTTTTTGTGACTTCACCGCCATTGTGTGTAGTACGAAAACGAAATTAAGTCGATTATGTATCTATTGTTGTTTTTACTTTTATGTGATCTATCAATAGATACGTAGCGAACTGTATCAATGGATAATTTCGTCATTACAAACTTCTTTCTCGCTTTCCTGAGGAAATTGTAATTTCCACGTGTTTTTCTCTATCAAACAACATTGTTTACATTGTCAAACAACATAGATACATAAGTATCTACTCTCATGGACGGTATTGAAACTACTTAATTAACTACCCATTTTATCGAACGATTCGTTTGTGTATATTAATTGAAAATCTGGCAAAGTCCACAGGCTTGAGAACAGATATCACCATTATAAGTAACCAAATATACCAGTATCGTTTTTAAACAAATTCAAACCGTATAACCTTTTGATTAAGGATCAAATTAGTTGGTAATAGGATTTTCACTTCAGCTCAAAGATACAAGCCACATTGACCATGACCACATAACATGAATGAATGCACTGCGTTTAGGACGTAGCGCAGTGGGGCTTGGCGAATTTTGTAAGTAAATTCCACTTTGTGAAACGTTCAAAGCATAAGCATTTTGCGGTTTTAATTAAAACACCACGTGTGCTATTCTAAATAGGTCGGTAGTTTATTCCTTCTCCGTACTTTAGTCTGTTTTAAACAATAACTGCACCTATAGCAACAAAAACATAATTGGAGAATCAAACTGAAGCTTAGAATGGACACAAAACAAGACCGCGACTTTAGCTAAACCTACCAAGTAGTTGAAATTTTAATAGATTTTCAACTTTACCATTTGGCAAATAGAGTTAAAAATCAATGATTTCTAGGTGTTTACAATAATCGGGTCACAAAATATTCTATTGGTTATTCTAAGTCACGTCGAGCAAGGTTATTGAAGAGTAAAAGTGACTAACAGTGACCGGTTCTATATCTACGAGTACCAACAAGTTCGAGTACAGTTGTAACCCATTTTCATTATATTTGCTTTAAAAATTTTCGTACCAAGCGCGTGTACTTTGTTTTCTGATTTGAGAACTCTTTATGAGCTAAAGAAAAATGTTTAACATTCTTAAGTCTGTGGCATTAAGTATGTTTTGAGGCGAACGTTCTTATTTTGCTAAAATACCAACCAGTTTCTATTTTGAATAAATTCGTTAAATAAACAAGACTTTGTTGTTTTTTTCCTGTATTGCTTTGAGAATCTGAATTAAGAAGAATGATAGCAGTTCTGAGCGTTATTCAATATAGAAGAGAAAACTCAATGCCTTTTTCGCAAACATACACGTCATAAACATAAACATAGGTAATTTCATAATTTTCCGTAACTATTCATCAAAAGCTTCCACCTCCTAGTAATACCAGATCTACCAGTATGGGAAGTGGAGAGAAAATTATTTCTACAGGAAATTAGCACGACTGGGGTATGGTAGTTAGTAGTTAGTGCTTACCTACATTTCTATGTGTCGAGTCGAGGCTTCTTACAATCTAGGTTACGGGTAAATATGCAAACACGATGAGAAAGATCATTATTGTATGATATAGGTACTGTAGAATTATTAATCTTCTTTATTGATAGAACATACCTACTTTTTCTTTGGTTGGGTTTTCTAAAGTTTTTATTACGAACATCTTTTACGGGTTTGTTTCTTAACGCTTCCTTTCTTTATGTATAAAGATGAGTTCTTTACAAATTATTTTATTCTTTTTCCTTTGTATTCTTGTGTACTTAAAGTACCAAAATAAATAAATTCCCGATAAGTCCTTCACGGAATGAATAATTCCCAAATATTTATACTTGCTTTTTCCCTGATTAAATTAAACAATAACAACAACAACGTTTGCTTAATTATCGCATCAGAAATAACCTTGACGAGTTTTCAGAAACATCGAAAGTCTAAATATTTATCCCGTTTATTTGATTGTGGGTACCAGGACCGCGTAAAGTCAAAGGAGTCCTCAACTGCGACTGGTTACAACGATACAATAGGTCAAATGAGCTACAAATTCAAGTTTGGTTTCCTTGACGCCCAGTTTTCATTGAGAGCTGAACTTCGAGTATAGGATGAAACACTAACCAATAACTCAATACTAACACTAATTGTGTTTATTAGTACTCCATGCAAGCGCTATCTAATCCACTTTCTGAGCTGACACACGAAAGTTGTGTTACATATTTCAAAAGTACTAGGACGACATAATATTGTAGGATGTATGAGTTTAAATACAAAGTTCAAGCTGTATATAGACTTCTGGACACATTGAAACAGATCGAAAAATTTTAAACTATGCTTGTAATAGAAATAATTTTGCAAAACTGATGTTGACATGATTAATAATAGGTGCATTCCTTTATTGTTCATATCGGTATGAAATATTCAAATGAGAATTGCTAGTGTTGATGGAATGACGGAATCGAGACTGTAGTTATTTTTCAAGTCGATTTTTTGACTGCCTCGTTGGCCGAGTGGTCGCAATTGCGACTGCCGAGCAAGGGGTCTCGGGTTCGATTCCCGGGTCGGGCAAAGTATTACTGGGTTTTTAAAAAATTCTCAGTAGTAGCACGGAGTCTGGAACTGTGCCCGGTATATGGCAATAGGCTCACCCCCTATTACATGGGACTCATAACATAAATAGTGAAAAGTGGGTGTTACATTGTACAGTGGTATAATGTGCACCTCTGCCTACCCCTTTGAGGATAAAAGGCGTGATGTTATGTTATGTTATGTTATGTGTCGATTTTTTTACTTTACTTAGGTAGTATAACAGAGCCTGGGGAAATACACGTGGCGTGAATCAACCTACGCGAGCTTTGGCTTCATTGATACACTGAACCTCCAAACGCAGGGCATTGTGATTGTCAAATGCAATTAAAATGACAAACACAGCTTCCTCACTAGTACTACCACGTAAGAAAAGAACTACAAAAACTATGAAAAAACAACGGAAAACGAAATGCAATTATTATTTCGGCGTAAATTCTCATCGCAGAACTTGCAGAGAGTTAGCAAAGTAATATACGACGAATTTTGATAGTTTTTTTTTCCTTTTTTGGACTGGGTCAGAGAATTACGTTGTAACACACGTGGCAGCTTACACGTGTCGCTTTATTTATTATTTCATGTCAAATTTCGTCCCCATATCCACGTACCACGTCACTGCATCGAAAAGGCAGACTCGATTACAGTGCTACTATAAATAGCCTTCAAAGTAATTTCTATGTAAGCATAATTAACTAGATAACTAATAATATACGTGGGCGATATTGAGATCACTTTTCTATATTAATATAGGGAAAACTAATGAAGAAAATGCAGGTGCTATTTATAAACATGTTTCAATCATTCTTCGAATACCTATATGTTATGTATTTTTATTGAAATTAATATCTAAAGATACTTTATTGTTTTGTAAATATGATCATTAAATGCTATTGTTTCGTTAAGAAGTATACTAGAGAACAATTGAATGCATGCGAACCGAGACACGAACCTATAAGTATACTTTTTAATTGAAAGTGTGTAATTGGCATGAATTTTCTACTGTTTGAGTTATTAGGAATAATAAATCAATACACCAAATATACCGGTGATTTTCCTCTTGGTTTCTAATCAATAGCCCTCGACATTCGCCAAAAAAGTTACCGTTCACCTATAACTTGACTTATGGGATTCTCCATTCACCAATTTGCCACATACTTAAAAGACTTGTAAAATACTGAGGCCATAGTCAAGTGTTTATATTCACGAACAGTGGACAACCGTGACATTTACATTGTGACGCGATGTTTCGAACGAACTTACGGCACCATTCACAACGATACTTCATGGAAACGAAGCTAATAATGCATATTAGAATATTATTCACTTATACCTCCTACTTCTTCATAATTGATTTTCCGATGCTCGCTCGGTGCAGTTGGGAGAAAAGTTATTACAGAATTGAATTATGCTCTGAACA